CGCTCCGGGCTGCCGGGAGCGACGGTGCTGGGCGCTGAGGACCGGCCTGGCTGCGCCGCCGCCGCCGCTGGTAGCAAATGCGGATCTGAAACCGGGAGAGAGAGCAGAGGCGCTCAGAGACCGCCGCCGCCGCGTGCTCGCCGCCCAGGCCCCCGCGGGGTATTTATATGTCACATCCAGGCGGGGGGACAAAAATATCCCCCCTCCCCCGAAGGATGGCGAGGGGCAGGAAGCTGGGCACGGCCCGTGCGCGGCCTCAATAAATAAATAATGTAATTAAATTATAGATATAAAAAAAAAGCCACCGGAGCGGCCGCGAACTCACGCCTTCTTGGAGCCGCGCCAGCGCCAGAAATAGCCCCGGCTCGGAGTCCCAATTAGAGGAGCGCAGCCCCGGCTCAGGGGAGCTTAAAAAGAGCGACCCAGGGGCAGGGGGGACGGGCCCGCCCGCGCCAGTCGTGTCACTGGGGGGCGGGGCCATGCAAATGAGCCCGGGGATTTAAAAGGGCGGCCGCCTGCCAGCCGCCACCGCCGCGCGGGCGGGGGATGAGGCGGGAGGGACGCGCCAGCGCCAGAAATAGCCCCGGCTCGGAGTCCCAATTAGAGGAGCGCAGCCCCGGCTCAGGGGAGCTTAAAAAGAGCGACCCAGGGGCAGGGGGGACGGGCCCGCCCGCGCCAGTCGTGTCACTGGGGGGCGGGGCCATGCAAATGAGCCCGGGGATTTAAAAGGGCGGCCGCCTGCCAGCCGCCACCGCCGCGCGGGTGGGTGCTGAGGCGGGAGGGACGCGCGGGAGGCCTGGGCTGAGAACCCGAGTCTTCCGCCCACTCCTCAGTCCCAGGCTGAGGAGATACGGAGAGGGGCGCAGAGGATCACGAAGGAGCTTTACGCGGGGGGTGGTGTTGCTGGTTGGGCTGTCCTTCCTCCCTGGAACAGGGGTCGCGGGAGAATCCCTTCTAGGGGCCTTCTGGGCGTGTGGGCCTGGCCCTCGTAAGGCGAGTGGGTATGGGCGGGCGTTTCTGCCTGAGAGGGTCTACCTGGGCGAGCGGGTGAAGAGAAACGAGCCGGTTAGAGAATTCCGCGGCCTACACGCCGCCCCCTTCCCCCGTATAGACGGCTCATAGATTTCCCCTGGGCGGACAGGTGTCAGCATGTGCACTTCAGTGTCAACCCGCGTGTGGTTGGCTGGTGAAATACAAGTCTTGTGAAATTCAGGCGTGAAACTTGTGAAATGCAGTGTTCTGATTTATTAATGGCCACAGCGAACCATTATCAAGGTGCAGTCTTCAAGCGAAACAAACGATTGGCTCGTTTGCAGGTATACCCGAGGGAGGAGTCATTCCTTTAGGTGACCTGGATGGTGTTTTGGGAGACACGCCGTCCCACTTTGGGCCCTAGTCTCGGCTGTGGCTTTTTAAGAAAATAAAGGGTAGGCCAGAAGTCGCCTGGAAGCGCTTTGAGGGCAGGGACTGAGTTTACGCGCGCCATGCCCGCCACGCCTGGCCCGCCTGGCTCAACAAAGACTTGTTGCACGGAACCAGAAGGAAGCTAAAGTGGGAAGATGGCGGGGAGGGCGGTCGGGGAAGAAAGGGCGCAGCCGGAGAGGCGCGCCCTGCAGGCCGGGCCCGGGGACTTCTCGGGCGCACGTCCCGCGCCTGGTCCCTGAGGCGGCCTTCCACACCTCCTGTGATGCAGGGAATTGCAATGCGGTCCTGTGACACACGGCTGTGACTCATGGCTTTCTTTGCTCCCCTTTTTCCTCGCTGGTCAGCCGAGGCCCTAGCCCAGCCCCCTCCTCAGGGGGCGAGACGGCGGTGGAGGGGGGGACGCAGGAAAACCCTGAGCCCGGAGTGGAGGCGGGTGGGGAACCGGAGGGGCCGGGCCTCCTAGTTTCAGGAATGTTTCAGGAATGTTTCCGGTGGGGGTGGGGAGCAGAGCGGGGAGTGGGCCCAGCCCCCACCCCGGGGGCAGCGGTATGGCGCTCCGGGTCCCGGGCAGCACGTGCTCTGCCGGGTGGGGGCGGGGGCTCCAGGGCGGGAAGGCGCTGGGGGCAGAGAGAGAGCGGGTTCAAAGGGGAGGGCGCGGGCCTAGAGCCCGCCCGGCCTGGGGTGGGCCCGGAGGCCGTCCTCCGCGCGCTGGCTCCCCGCCCTGCGCCCAGGTGAACGGCAGTTATTGAGAGGTCCCGGGGCCGCCCCTGGAGGGGAAAGGAAGTCACCGAAGGGCGGCCTGAGGGGAGGGGAGAAGAGGGCGGAGGGGGAACGGGAGGGAGAGGCTGGGGGAGGGGCGGCCTGCCCCTTTGTCTGGAGCCGGGGGCTGGGGGTGGGGCGGGGTGGAGGCGCGCTGCTCCCTCCATCTTTGTGCCCTGCGCGCTCAACGCGCCCTTAGTAGGCCGTGAGTACAGTTGGCGGGAGGGCACAAAGTTGCGAGCCCGAGAGCCTGAACAGCGTTGAGTGGAGGGGCGATCCTTCAGCGTCCACCACCTCCCGACCCCAGGTCACAGGGTCCTCAGCAACCTGGGCCCCCAGGGAGAGCCCCTCCAGAGCTGCGTGTCCCTAGACACAGCCCTCCCCAAGGCCGCCTAGGCTTCTAGGCCCGGACTCTGGACTCGGGTTGGCGGCGAGGAGGCAATAAGAGGGTCCTGGCAGCCCCCTTCCCCAGACGCAGCTAATGGCTGGGTAGCTCTACCCCTCGTGTGACGTGTAGCCTAAGAGGGAGGTGGCAGGGGAGAGGGACTTCCACCTCGAGTGGACTGTGGGAACACTTGGCCAACTTTTTGGCCCATTTCTACCAAGCCGACTTGATCTTATTTTTTCTACTCCTATTTTCCCTCGTCCTGATTTCCTCACCGACTTGTTTTTTACCTTGTATTGTGTGTATTTTTGTAAGCCACCTCAAACCCTCTCTGGAAAGAGGAAGGTATAAATAAATTCGTAGGCAAATAAATATAGTAGCTTGTTCCCCTTCAGGATTACCCACATCCTTGAAATCCAAATAACTCTCCACCCACTGACCCCTACCTCCATGCTTTTTGGATTTCAAATGCCCGGAATTCACTTCCTTCCCTTTCTTTTCTCTTTCTACGAGTATGAAGCAGAAGAGTGAGTGGTAGGGATAAAAAGATGAGTAAGACAGTCTCTGCCCCAGCGAATTTCACGTGTAGAGGAATCAGCACCAGGGATATACCAGAGAAAGCTGAAAAGTAATTCAGAAGATGCCATGAGGTAAAAGACATTTCATTCATTCAGTATTTATTGAGAGCCCAGTAGGTCCCAGGAACTGGTCCAGACTCTTGGGATACAATCAGCTGAAGGAAGCAAAGTACCCTGCACTCGGGCCGGCCCGTGGCTCACTTGGTAGAGTGCGGTGCTGATAACACTAAGGCCACAGGTTCG